TGTTTAATTTTTGTTTTTAGAGTATAAATTAAAATTTATTAATTAAAATATTTTTAATTAATTTATAATTTTTAAGTATAGATATTATATTATATTTTATATTTATAATTTATAATTTATAATTTATATTATTTGAATTTATGTAAAATTTAATATAATATTAATTATAATTAATATAATTAATAAAAATTAACCAATATTTAAAGCATGAATTAAAAAACCCCTTTTAATACATTTTACTCATTAAATTGAATGATTCTTATCACTTTATTAAAGTGTAGTTACCTCACTCTTGAGATTAAATTGAAGCACCCATGATATTTTGTTAAAAAAAAAAAACCCCTTTTGGCTAATTTAAGTGTGGCAGGGGATTTCAGTGTGACAAGATTGAATAATTTGGATAGTTGTCCTACTCGAATCTCGGCAAAACCGATAGATTGCCCCTTCAATTTTTTGAGTGCGTAAAATTTTATTTTTTATCTTATAATATATAATTTTATGTCTTTAATATTTAAATTTATAATAATAAAGTAATTTTTAATATTGTAGGGTCATCTGTAACCCTTGAAAATGATAAAGTAAAAGGTAAAATTTTACACACTAAAATATTATAGTGATATAAAATTTTAAAGTTAAATATTAAAAAAATATAAAATTATATATTATAAAATAAAAAGTAAAATAACACATATTAAAAAAGTTGAAGGGTAATATGGGGAAGTTTGTGCTCGAATCTCAAGACTTCATTATCAATCTTTTCTTATATTCTGTGATATGTAGTAAATGTGGAATTGAATATGAGCAAAGGGCAGAAATACTCGTAAAAGAGATAGAGAGAGAGAGGAAGTCTGAGAATGACATTCGATCGTCCTTACTAAAATAAAGTAACATCATTTAATGCCTTTAAGTCGTGTGGGCCTTTCTAATAAATTTTTGCGTAGATGCTTTGCCTGCGATATTTCTTGCACGATATGATAAACATTAAATATATATATAAATATAATATTATATATAATTTTTAAATAAAAAAATCAATCATATATTATAAAGTCAGTTGTCCTAATTGATTCGTGATGTTGAGTAAGAACTAAGAAGCATAAATTTTTGATTTTGACTTTACATTGCATTTATTAATAAATAAATATTATTTTATAAATTAAATGTGTAATTTAAA